TTCCTTTAGGCAAAGATTTTGGTTTTGCCCACGGTATGCTTGGTTCATGCAAGTGTGGGCATAATAAAATGATGCGATGCTATCACTTCAGGAAAACTCATATGCAAGTTTATGGTAAAGGTACTTTGCTTTTCTAGAGAGATGAAGGAGCTGGCATTTTGCATTGAGAAGCCTGTGTGGGCAGAACATTTAACACAGCAGACAGGCTTGTGGGAAGTGGCATTCAAAGAGAGAACTAGGAGTTTTTAATCAGTAGAAATGGGGAGTGTTTTTAACTCCGCTAGTGTGGGCTGCTCAAGATCAGCTCAGGTAGCAAGATGAGAAAGCTCAGTAAGTGCAAACGCAGCAGTAACAGATAATCCTTCTTCATTTGAAATAAGCAGACAAATGTGTGAACGGGTTATAGGTCAGTCTGAAATCATGGAAAAGAAAAAATAGATCAAGGCTGGGGAAAGTGCCGCGTTTCCTTGAAGAGTAATGTGCTAACTAAACAAGAAATGGAAAGTCAGTAGAGGCCGTTTGACACTTAGGGGAAACAAGCCCTCGGCCTCTTGCCGTAACTACCGTCGTGTGGGGCGGAACGTGACAGACGGCAGAGTGCAGGCACCTAGAGAACGGTGGAAAAGTCTGCCTGTATAAGAAATGTTGTCAGATTGCATGTGATCACTGGCTACAGTGAGCTAAGAGTTGGATGTATAAATGCTAAGAGCTAAAAGTGATACAAGAAACAACACGATGCTGGGTAGGAATCTTTCATTAAAAATCCGGCATAGATAATTACCCTCCCTGCTTTTCTCTGTTTTTAATGTTGAAAAGTCTCTCCATGGAGACTTCTCTCCAAATAAAGCAATTTATTTGGATTTTGTTTTCAAGGTTGGTTTTGGCCTTGTTTTGTGTTTGGAGTTTTTTTTCTTTTAATAAGAAAAGGATGAATACCAAAGAGGAAATTTTTTTTTTATTACTACTTAAGCTTCTCAAAGGATATTACAAAGAAGGAAGAGCAAAGTGGATCAAACTTACGGAAAGTATATGACATGTTCCTTTTTATGAAATAAGAGAAAGACATCTGATTTTCTAAAAGCCTATGGGGAAAATAGTTTACGTTTTGAAGGGCTTAGGGTCACAGTTTTGCTGAAAGTATGTAAGAGGGTGTCTGTGTGCATATGAAGCCCCAAAAGCAGTGAATAGCTAGGATACTAGTTACTGTTTGTCCTGCTTTGGGCAGTCCCTGTGCATGGAGGTAGTTGTCTCTATTTGTTCACTTTTCAGAGTAAAAGTCATCCATAAAAGATGGTAAAAGTGAAGGGGACAGGACACCAACAACGCAAAACCTTTCAAAAGGCCTGGAACCACTGGACACTGTATGAGTTAGGTAGAGATCTCGGTATTCCTTCAGTATGAAGAAAAAAGGCTATTCACTGTGTCTGGAAAAAGATGTCTCGACTGGTTTGGGCCAAGTAATGATGACTTCCCAGAAGAACTGGACTTGGTAGGAATAAGTGAGTTCTGAAAATTGCTTGAAGAGAGGAGGAGCATCTTTGGGATGACATGAAAGTGACCAATTAGGAAAATGTCAGCAATGCTTTTCCTTCATGCAACCACCACTGCAGCTGCCTGTCTGCCTTGTGAACATTTGCGAAATAGTGTCCCACAACTGGGGGAAGCTTGCCGATAGTTGAAGCTGAATGCTGTAAAAGAAAGCAAATTCATTGTAGTCTGGGCCAAGTGGAAGTAGGGGAACTACATAGAATTGTGTAAAAATTACTTGTTTTACATTTATAACTTGACAGCAGGATGACTTACGAATTTGGAGTGTGAAAGTGATTTGAGAGTGAGCTGGGGGTGTCTTCGCTGCAGGCTGAGAATTAGTGTGTTGATAAACTTTGCTATCTAATTCATGGATAAATATTTGGTGCTCGCTTCAGAGAAATTCTAGTTGCATCTATAAGTTTAGGGCTGTAGACAGTTTATGTTTGGTTTTTCCATTGTCAGACAGTTGTTGACATTGTTTTGATGAAGAAGTAGTTGAATAGCTTAAGTTGCACTGCTTTGTATAGTTTTTAGAGTAAATTTGGAGGTAATGGAAAGAACTCAGGCTGCTGGAAGTAAGAGCAGTTCTATTTCCCAGCCCATGTCTGCCCCACCAAAGAAAGCTTAGCATGCATCTCAGCAGGACAAAACTTTCTCTGCTGTTACCTATTTCTTATCTCTGGCTGAAAATACTGCTTTCAGAATAGCGGTAGTTTACGTCCCCATTTAGTTCTGTGACTTCTCTTCCTTGGTTGTCGGTGACCGCAGATAATGCTGTCACTGACCATGGAGTTTGTCGTGGCAGTATCTCATTACAGGTAACGGATTTGAAACTGCAACATAATCCCTATGGCTACCATGGTATTATCAGCAACATGTGCCATGTTCCACGCTCAAATTCAGCCTTTCATACAAAAAACCCTGTGGGTGCCTGTAACAGTTTTCTGTCCTCAGCCTCTGCCTGGACTTTGAAGACCCAATTTATGTCTGAGATTCTGTAATAGAATCCCTCTGGGAAATTTTTAACCAGTAGCTACGGAATGGTAAAAGTCATGTTAGAAAGTTAAGGGCAGTCATCTGATTAGCATAAAGTAAACCATATACAGCAGATGTTCATTAGGTAATTTTGAGAATGAAATTTCAATCAGTATTATTATTTGGATTGTTAACATTAGGATCTGTGGGTTTATGAAGTTCTCTGTGCTACAAAATGGAGATGGATGCACACTAAGCTGTAATCCACTCATCCATCATAAAACTTCTGCTAGACACCATTCAATTTCCAAACAGAAGAATTCATTACCTATCTCCAGAGAAATTAATTTTTCCTAAGTGTTATTATGTGCAATGAGCTATTAGAGAGCATTCTACAGCAAGCAGGCAAGGAAGCAGCTGTGTCTAGCATGCAGCTATAGAACTGATGAATAAAAAATTTCCATGGGCGATGCAGAAATACAAGGAGTTATCTTCGTGACTCTGTTGAGTTAACAAATATGGGTTCAGGTCATTGTCCTACCAGAATTCTGCTGTGTAACCTACCTACAGTGGGAGACACTGGTTTTCCAGTATAGATTTTTGTTTTATGTCTAACTCTTGTTTCAGCATAGCTTGCATCAGGTTTACACTTAAAACTATGTTACCTAGTTGTGGGCAGTCTGGTGTCCCAAGAGGTTTGTTTCAGTGGAGTGCAAAGTAACCTGCGTAGTCACAGTCTGGGTGCTATAGCCTGTTCTCATAGTGCTATAGTCCTCTGTAGGAAAGGTTAGTTCTTTTAATTCAGACCTTCTGGTTAAAATGGCCTGATACCAAATAAATCTGACTCTTCCCAAAACACATATGGACTCTAATGTATGTTTCCTTGTGAATTCTGGCAGTGCAGCTCACTTCAGGGGTGTGCCCTTAAAGCAAAATCACAGAAAGTGAAACAGCTTTCTGGAATAGATTGCCAAGAACCCCTCAAGCCTTCTTGCTCTTCAACTACCAACACAAAACTGTGTCGATGGTGTTTGAAATGACAGGACAAAAGCTTTCTGTGTCCTTGTCAGATAAACAGATGCCAAACCTGAAGTTTCTGATAGTACTGTTTAAAATATCTATTTTCTGTGAATGAGGTACAGGGGATAATTCATTTAGGAAGGCTGACAGACAGACAGCTGGCTGCTCTATCCCGTATTTTCCAGTGTAAAAATAAACTGCAGATGTTTGACACAGATACGTCAGGATACTTAACTTTGGGTTAGGGTTTGCAGATGTCATGTGTTTTGCGAAAGCTGAATCTCAGTCTTAGGGGAAGCAGGGAAGAGCTACATGGCACCGAATGCCAAGAAGCGTGTCCTGTATGTGACTAATGCATCCTGACCTGTGGACACTCTGTCCCTTTTGATGGTTTGTTTTGGTTTGGATTTTGGGTGTTTTTTTGTTGTTTTTTTTTAAAAAAAAGTACTGTCTTTAGCAGTGTACTGTTTCTGTGGTGATATTTTGAGAACTGTCATCATTTGTTATTGGTAGGCGAAGGAGTTCAATCGCCAGGTGATTTTCTTCATCATATAAAAATGTCCCCATGAGAGGGGAGCCTTCTAGAGCCCTTTTCTATTTCAGCTGCAGAGAGCATTATTTGTTCAGCACCCAGGAAGTGGAGGTAAGTGGGGACATGCCAAATCAAGTTCTTGTTTTCCGATTTACCTTCCCAAAGAGGATTTTTGGTGACAGATCGGTCCAGATGTTTCACCTCTCAAAAGTGTTTTAAATCCTCTTTAAAAGATGTCGTGTGAGGATTTATGCTGGGTGGTGTTTTGGTTTGTCTTCAAAGCAATTAAGAGTAAGGCTGTCAGTTTTGAGCTTGGCAAGTCTTGAGAAATGGGTGAGGTTGGACAGTTTATCTAAACCACGCTTGCGGCCGTGTTTCATTGGATGTACTTGATGGCAGACATTTACATGACAGACTAATTTGTTCATTTTCACAGAGTAGTACCTGATTAGGTTTCCTCTTGGCTGTGGTTCACTGAAGTCGTGTTATCCTGTGCATTGCTTCCTGATCATTACTTTGGAAACAAGCCTCTTTGGTTGGTTGGGTTTGGGGTGAGGGGATATGGGATTTTCTGTTTTCTTTTCAGGGCATGTGTATATTGGGGAGAAATGAAGTAAAGCTGACTTCTACTTGTTATTACTAATACAGAGGTTTTCTGTCATTTTAAGATTCAATTCCAGGATCTTCTGTCTTTCTCCTCACTTGTTCCAGGCCGGTTTTATCATGATACTTAGTAGGAATTTGTCATTATGCATAATGAGCACAGCAGGACAAGTAACATGCAGTTTCTTTTGTAAGTTGCAGAAGTTGGCTGTACCCTAGAATGTGTGAATCTCAGCCCTCTAGACCCAGCACAAATTTAAAAGAATCTTTAAAAAGTTAAAATAAAATGTGATTGATTGACAGCTTGATAGTTTACAACTCTTGTTGTTTATTTGTTTAGGGAGGCAACAGCAGCTGGAAGCTGAGCAGCAGTACGTGGAGGCTGATCAAGACCTTCACAAAAGGATGGAGCGGTCTGTGCAGCCACCTACGGAAAGACCTGGGGAGAGGCGAATGGCAGAAATGAAGAAACTGTATGGTGCTGAAGCTGCCAAAATCCAGGCAATGGAGGCTGCCATGCAGCTGATCTTTGACAGAAACTGTGACAGAAAGCAGCCCAAATACTGGCCCATTATTCCCCTTAAGCTGTGAGTACCCGGACTGTGCTCTGACCTGGGACAGTGCTGTAGGGACAGATGCCTCAGGTTGTGCTGCTGAAAGAACAAACTGCACATTCTGGGTTTGGTTGGTCTTGGGGGCAGAGGCCAGCAAGAGCAGCACGTTTCTTTGCCCTGTGTTCCTTTCACACTGTGTCAACGATGGTCACAGTCCATTCTACCTACGTGCAGTTGTCAAGTAGTAGGAGGAGGGACAGTAATATCAAACCTGTCTAAAATCACAGTTTCATTTATTTGTTACCCACCTGCTTTGACTATATTTGCAAGAAATGCAACAATGTCTATACTCAGTAAACTGGGAAAACTTAGAGCAGTGTGAAAAAGCCTGTTTGAACTGTCTGCTCTTCCCATTTAGGAAGTTGAGTGGTCCCAATTTTTTAGTCTGCTTTAACATAGCAGCACTTAGATCCTTTTTAACTCAGCACAGCTTAAATTGTTATGTCTGCTAATCTTGGATTTTTCTGAGAAACGGGAGCCCACTGGCCAAGATACAACATATTGAATTACTGTAGCCCAGCTATTTGAATTCTTTTTCAAAGTTTTATAATAAAGCAGGAAGTTTTTCTTACAGAGACTGATACTTGTCTGGCAGGAGTTTGATGCTAAAGCAGCATTATATATAAAAATGTTTTAATGAAGGGGGTGGAGAGCTTAGAGGGGAAACTTAATGTGGGCCTGCCAGAGATCTATTTAGACAAAGAGAAACTTAAGAGGACAAAGCATTCTTGCGGCCAGTGCCTACAGTGACTTTTGCCCTTCTAATAAAAAGCATCTTAATTGATTTGAAGCTTTAAAGAAAACACATTAGTCTGATGCACTGAGGATACATCTGCACGCTGTATATGGAGGCGTGGAAGCCGTGCAGCCCCGAGGACTGCATTTATTTTAAATGCAGCTTTCCAGTGCCCACCTGCACAGCACATTCACAAAGCTTAAACACAGGCAAGTTAGATACACCTCCCTGTGTGCTCATCCATCTGCGCAGGCTGTCTGTCTCCACTTCTTTACTTTTGGTCAGTTGTGCTTGCCTTGCTAGTAGCTGCTGACCAGGTGGAGTGAGGCACACAAGTGGTCTGTGTGGGAGAGGCAGAATTGGCCCCTCAATACTGGTGACTCCTTAGGAAATGCTACTCCGAACACTTCCAATGACTTCTCTGCGAAGGAGTGGTGCTACGTATCAGTGTGTGCTGCAGGGCTGTAGTTCATGTTAAGCAGCATTTCCACGCTGGGACAAAGGAACCTTACGCTGCTTTAGCCGTGACAAACATTCCCATGCCTTTCTGGCAATGGAGAAAAGTCACAGCTAAAATTCTAACTTTGGTTCATGCCCACTGTGTCTGATGTATCTCTGTAGCATGTGCATAATTTGTAATACATGCAGTTTTGGATATCTTTGGTTTTATTAATAGCCACTATGTTTCTTCAAGGCAGCATTTTCATTTCAGTTCCACCTCCTTCACTTTCAGTGTGGTGAGGTGGAGGTGAATTGAACACTGAAATTAAAAGCCCCTGGTCTCCAAGACTTATCACTAGTGTGATTAATCTGAAAAACTTGTGTGAGACAGGAGAGGGAAAAGGGTTATGAACAGTCCTGCATTTGTCTTCACTCATATTTTTGTTTTGTCAGAAATTCTGCGTTTTGTTTGGGTTTCCTTTTGTTGACCGAATAAATTCTCTTCACAAGACCTTGTAATTTATTTTTTTATAAACAAACTTCCATACTTCAGTGCTCCAGTTCTCAGATGCTAAAGGTTTCTTTTAGCTACTGTATAATGTTGAAGGAAAATTGAACTTGGAGCAAGATTTAACATATTGAGGAGCACAAAGAGTGTTGACAGGACTTTCACAAGAATGCCAGTGAATACCACAGGCACGGTTATGTTACAGAATGAAGGGGAGGGCTCTCACATCCTCTGGGAGAAAACCATATCCCAGATTAACGTGCATAGCTCTCTCTGTTCCTCTTTGAAATGTTTCCAGTGTGGTGATGGTGTCTCCCCTGTGCAGTTCAGTACGGAAGAAAGAAAGAATGGGTAGGACTGGGCTGTTCTTAAACCCAATTCTTCCTGTGGTCGTTTCCACATCCAGCTGGTTCTGCTAGCAGAAGCAGAAATTCTGATCTCCGAAAGTATTTGTAGAGACCTCACGCAAGACAAACATAGAATTTCTTTCCTACTTCGTTTAAAACATGGAAGAAATATCCTTGCCTTTAGTTCTTATAACTATTTCTAAGAGTGTTTGGTATGCATCAGGAGGTTGGAAGTAAAGAGAACTGCATGAAACCTTCCCTAGGAACTAGGTAGTAAGGCCTGCAAGAGAGGAATACACCGCTGCAGGCTTTGAGTTGCTGCCAAGTAATCTCTGTACCACTGCTGAATTTCAGGGGATGGGCTGTTGCCTGCAGCTGGCCAGATGTCCAGTTTTGCTGGTATAGTTTGGTGAAACTTGGTGATGTTGTGTTGCAGTTCGTTCACTCCAGGTCCTGTGCCATTTTACATTTCTAAGAAGTATCTCACAGAAAAACGCAATCACGAAAGCAAGGCAACTGCAATTCAACAGTTTTTATTTTTCTGCCTGTTTAGTCAGAATGTCTCTAACGTTCACCTTTCTTGCACATGTTCTGCTGCAATCCTCAGTCATGGGACCATGTACACATTTTTTCCCCCCCAAATACAACATTAGGTCAGCCTCTCGACTAGAACGCAACTGTGATGCTGTAGACTTGGTTCTTCCTCATCCAGAACCTTTGCACCTTCGCTTCCAGCTACGCCAACTGCTTTTACAGTCCTGCCCAAAGGGAATTTTTCACTTGCTGGTGGTGCTGCTTCTCATGAGCTTTTCCCAGCTGCAGTAGAAGGAATTACACCCTGAAGTTGCAAGTACAAGTTGTCATACAAACAATTAGTTTTAATTTCAGAAACTGGTTTCCTCCTTTGCTACGTGCCAATGTGCAAATCAGCCTGACCTTCAGAAGAATGGTTTGGGATTGGTTGAAGACACTTTGAAGATTGGAGAAAAATGCTAATAGGTCTTTTTAACTGAAATCACTCTTAAAAGAAATTTAAAAAATAAAAAATAAAGCTGGCACAGTACAGATTTAACATACAAATGAAGCAATGACCTTTATCTTTCCCACTGAAAGAAAAACTGCTTACTCTTATGCACTGGTGACATTGTCAAGAACACTTATCCTTTTAAAATTATTTCCCCATAAGCCAGTGGACAGTTTAGTATGCCTGTTTATAAGATTAAAGAATTTTGATGAGCATAGCTTTTCTTTTAATAAACCTTATAGGTAAGTATTCATCCTTTCTGATGGTAGTCTTGTATAATGGCTTGCTGCAAACATCTCATACTTGGAATAAAAAGCAACCTAAATTTCTGTAACAGCTTTCGTGAAGGATAAACGTATATAATCCATGTGGATTTGCTCACTCACATCTTTTTCTCTTTGCAGAAGATTCTCACTCATTCATTATATGAAATACATTTCAAATATTGGCATTTTCATCTCTTGTTACATTAATAGGAGTCCAGCTCTTTGAACAGAAATAGAGAAGACCAAGACACTTTGATTCAGCTGCTTAAATTTGGATTTTTAAGTATGATTTTTGGCATGCTAGTCTGAATATTTTGGCTGAAATAATTACAGAGGGGCCAAGATTATTGCCCAAAGTGTGAAATACACTCTGTCAAAGGTAAACATCCAGAACCTTGTTTTCCTTCTGGTTTCTTAAGAGAGTGAGTTACTCGAGGAGTATACTATGTATAAATGAATTCATGCTATGAGAAAATTTTGTGTTTATATTTATGTGCTAATTCATTAACTGTCCTGTCTAACCTGCTCTGTTACTGTCCTGTCTAACCTGCTCTGTTGTCTTGTGTGATCCTGCCTGGATAGTCTAAAGGAAAAAAAATACTTAGGGGCTTTCAGCTTGGTACAGTTAGCAGCCTGTGAGGGAGTCTCAGCTGCTCCTGAAGGCTGGTTACAGCTAGAGGATGAGTTTCAAGGCCTCGCATCCCTTCAGATGTTCTTAAACAGCTGGAATTGCTGAGCTGGTTCGTAGAGACACACACAGTGGAGGTCTGGGTGGGTGATCAGCTGTGATGCTGTTGTTTGGTATTTCTCATGGAGACCCGGATAAAAGATTTTTTGTAGCAAGAGAATTGCTTGGACTCAGTCCAATCTGGGAAGGAGGTGAGCACACATGCAGGAGCTTCAGCTATTAATTTCAGCAGGGCAGGAGCTGCACAGAAGTCTTGCTTGACCCAAAGTGGAGAAAGGCTGGCTCGTCTTGAGTTTCGAGTGATTCTCTGTGTGTGGATTCTATTAATCACAGAGTCATAGAAGGACTTTTTCCCTTTAATCATGAGTCATTTTCTTCTAAGAAAACAAGAAAACAGTGAGAACATAACGTCGTTTTTAAAAAGAAAATACTTTCCAGCCTAATGATGCCAGTAACACTGCTGGTTCCCTAAACTACACTGAGATCTTTTGCCTACAATGCCTTTTGAAAAGCCAAAACATACAAAACTGCTGTCCCTGTGACTTGTTTACAGCCATCCCAAAAAAATACCTTTGTGGGGAGGAGGGATGAGAAAAATGGAAAGGATTATTAGGGTTTTTTACCAAACAGTTCAAAGTGGTCCTCCTTCATTTTGTTTTAAATAAAAACCACAGCTGACTAAAATCTGGACTCAGTAAAGATGTGAGGCAAAAGTCTATCAGGGGCTGTTAAAAATTAAGTTACTGCACTGTCCTGGGATGTCCCTAAGCTGCACCTCACTGGAAGCTGGGAAGGGGTAACAAAATATTGCTTTATTCATGGAATTTTCTTATACTGTCCTCTAGACAGCTGCCATTGGGTGATGGCATAGGAAGCTAACTAGACTTCTGATCTGGTTATAGTGATTTTTAAAATCTTTCCACCTGCTTATACTGAAGATCAAGATTGAAATATCAGCCCTAAGGTTCAGCTTTTGGCTGTCCCATACATCCTTTTTCCTA